GTTATTCTCTCATATATAAAAATTATATTCTTGAAAAAAAAACGCGATCACGATTACATAATTAAAAACTGTTTTGTTTTGAGAAAGAGAAAACAACAAAACAAAAGAGTGATAGGCTCGTGAATTACGGACAATCTATAATTTTCATCTCAAAACGCGTACAAATTTGGATCAATTTATATTGTTAATTAATACCTTTTTTATACTTTATGACGACGTAAATTAAAAGTCCGACGAGACAGGACCTTTCTTCCAGAATAAAGCTTCTTGAATTAATGATGGAATTCTACGGTGAATTTTCTTACGAATCGCGTGAAACGGGCTTAAAGAACACGAGGAAAGAAGGGCGCCGCGTTCGTCCGCCGACTCCTCTAATGCCCGCATATTTCGCGACACGTCGCGCGGAGAGACAGCGACTCGACTCGCGTTGCGCACGATATTTCTCGCGCGCGACGTTTCATGCATACGGCATCGATGACGATTTTTCAACGGAGCGACTTCGTCACTGCTCCGATAGATTGTTATTCTGGCATTTGCACGTTTATCGTGAGAGATAAAATAGAATAGCTGAAATATTTAAATACTTGGAAAGAACAAATTTGCACAAGTGCACATTGAAAGTGGGGGTAACCACTTAAGGAGGTTGTAAGGGCATAAAACACATATATTAATATTTTCGCTTTAAACAAACTACATACATGTGAAAGTTGTGTTCATAACATTCTGGTTTTATTGAGCAACACATTTTTATAGGTTATTTATTTTATTTGTTATTAGTTTTATTGTTATAAACAAAAATCGTTAAAATAATAAGAAAAAACTAAATGTTTTTATATAAATATATTAAGTACTAAACATGACTTATGCAAAGTTTCATTGAGATTCACCATTAGTTTATAACAAATAACAAATTTTATTTATTTACTGAACAATTAATGTCTGCATCTCAAGATAAATAACTTTACAAAAATATTGTTGAATTCCTAGAGTATTTATATAAAAAAATTGAGATTTTTATCATTATTTTATAATACATTTTCATATATTTATATTAGAGTACAAATTAAAAAAATATTACTACTTATTTAAATAACTTTTGATCCAGATGGTCAATTGTTTCTATTTTTTTTTTGTATTATTGTTAAATGAAATTTAGAATAGTCTGTAATTTTTTCAAGTAGTTCTTAACATATTTCATTTGCCTTACAACCTCCTTAAAAGTGGGGGTAACCACTTAATGTAATCTTGGGACAGAATCCTCGAAAATCGTTATAAAATTCATATAAAATCCTACGTATAATCCGATAATTACATATGCTACCCCCCACGAGAAATTATTGTATAATATTAAAATTAATTAAATAAAATCGTATATTTTATCAAATTACTTCATATGTAGTGAAAAAAATTATTTGTAATCAGATGAAATCATATGATATTATGTAATCTGCGGGATAATATTTCTGCTAATGGTTATCCCCTCGTATCCCGTTATCCTATATTAAAAAATTTAAATACATACAGTTCTGAAAACAATTTTTTAAACCATCGAAATAATTATGTACACAGAAAATTCAAGCATGATGAACGACGCTGCAACAAGTTTCAACATTCAAGTAACTAATTTGAACGTCCTAAAAAAATTCTAGTTGAAAATTAACGACTTCGGATTATATCAATCACATTATTTCAATTAGAATTGTAATAGATTCAACCAGAAAATTCTGATTTGTCCATTTTCAATCAAAATTCCAATTTATGAAACCAGACTTTTTTTTCAGTGTACATAATTATTTGTGATAATCCAATATAATTATTTTCTAATCTGTATCTAGCTTTTCTAGATACTTGAGCAGAAACATTCTTTCCGTGTAGAATGATGTAGACATTTTCTTATCATAAAAATCATTGTTTCACGATTTAAAAACCGTGAGCGTAACGTTTAATTATTCGTTAAATAAATATCAATACAGTTTTAGGCATTAAATAATTTTTTTTAATTTTTTTTGGGGGGGTAAGAGTTTTATATCAAGAATATTGAATATAGATGAAGATTTTGTAATCGATATAGTCATAAAAAATGCATAGTATACTTTCAATTTATAGTATATGTATATTAAGGTTACATTCATCGCGGTCGAATCTTAATTTATGTACATAATTATGCGTATATAATCGCACGCGAGGAAAACTATGCGAAGCGCGTAATAAATGATTCTTCCAATTCAATTACAAACACGCGAAAAACAAGAAAATTAATTTGGTATTGCACCGTAAAATTAAAAAAGTCAACAAACAATGTAGCAATAAATCCCAATTTTATATGATAATTATCATGATAAAATGAAGGAAGTGTACTTAAAAGTAAAACTTTATACATATAAATAGTACGAACACATGGAAAGAATTTTACTAAAGTGTTTAAGAAAAGAAGTTACGTTAAGTTTTAAGTTTAAATTGTTTTTTTTTTCGACCAAAATGTAAGTTTCAAAATGTACAAATTATGTATCCATATTAAAGGATTACTTAAACGGAATCAAGTAATGTATCGTTTATCACGAGGAAACATCGGAAATGTGGAAGAAACAATCGTTATCAAAAACAATTAATCTAAAAGTTGTTGAGTAAGATCAAGATATTCCAAATTTCAGGAATTAAGCAACAAAACTGTATTGTTATGTTCATTATTCAGAGCTAGAATTTAAAACCAAATGATTATTTTGTATCAGACTCTTCGCGCCGTTTGTCAAAAATCTCCTTTAAATTATGTTAAAATAACATAATATAGTTCTTTTTGCTTAAATTGTAGAATATCTTAATACTTTACTTAACAACTTTTTATTAATAAATATGATAATATCAGATTTATTTTTATCATAATGTTTCCCCATGATAAGAGATACATCACTCAACTCTGCTTAAGCAGTCTTTTGAGAAGCTTTCTAACAAAGTAACTTATGAAAGATGTTGTTTTCTAAGAGTTTTCGGGGTCGCTGAATTCAATTTAGCCTCAGAATTCTAAAATTCAAAGGAGAATACAACTTTTTTCGCGGTCGTTCAGGAATCGTTTTATTTCTACATTTTTTTACGTACTTTTCTTTATAAAAACTGAAAATTATCATAATAATATCGCTACTAGAGAAAAAATTGTGAAATAAAGTTATTAAAATCCTTATTCACATCGTTACAAAATCGCTGCCAGTTATATCCTTGAATCACTTAAAAACTAATTTAGAGTTAGATTAACAACTCTGAATTAGTTTTTGAATTATTTTTTGGCCTAGGGATTACATGAACAAACAATACTGAGTTCTTAGAATTAGGCTTAAATACTTAATATGAAAAATTAATTAGAAAATTTATACATATGTGTGTGCATACGAAATTGATATAATAGTGTGTAGCGATGTCTCAACGACACATAAATCTTATATATGTAAATCCTATACCGAATTAATAAAACAGACGACTTTAAAGCTGACGGTACACAACGCTTGTTTTCTCGCTGGATTGCTAGTTGGATTAGATTCTTGTCATCGTATGGCTGCGATGCTGGCACTGTCAGCATCAATACGATGAAAAGATTCTAATCCAACTAGCAATCCAGCAGGAAAACAAGCCGCCACAGCTTAAGATTCCCCCGTTAATTGAAAGCCGAAATTTCACCGCGTTCTTAAAAGCGTGATTCAACCGGCAGTGGTCAAGGCCGACCTCAATTTTCGACGAAAGCGTGGAAGAGATGGAGGACGTGTACGACCCGCGACCTTTCGACGGAGAAATTTCGAATAAGCGCGTACACGAATGCCGGCGGTTAAAAACACATTCGCTTCGAGTCTTACGACGGGCGAGTCTTACGGCACCGACTCTCGGCAAGAAACCGGCGAAGGACGAACGCGCGTGGAGGAGAAAGTCCTCGACGGACTTAGCCGAGAGCTGAGGGGCACGCTGGATGTCAGCTGACGGAGACGAAGGCCGCCGCAGCAGATGAAACGTTGACAGACTGTAATCCAACGTAATGAGAGTAACACTGTGAGGTGCGACGAGAAATCTATCTTCCTCCGCCCTCACATTTTCACTCTTTGTAATTAAAAACGCGACGAAAGGTATATTGAAAATTAAAAAGAAGAGACACTTCCTAGAGAGTATGAAAGTGTAAATGATAAATCACAGGTGCAGTTTTTTTTCCACTACGCGAGATTAGAAATATCGTTTCGTTGATAGAAGTGACGTTTCAAAATTAACGACTTTTTTCAGTAGAACATTTTCTTTAATTCTTAATTGGAACAATGTGTTTTAATTCAGATAGTTCCTATAAATTTCTATAAATGTCACTTTCCTCTCGTATTACACTTTCAATTAGAAAAAGAATACATTATATACAGAGCAGATTAATTTTATGGAAAAACGATACATTTTTAACTCATCTGCTTAAGTGAAAGTGTCACAACTCCGATGTTATAAAATTTACATCATACTAAGATCGCTGCATTCGAATTTTAAAAACTTGTTCATAAGTTTTTAATGTATCGTATATATAATGAGTCTTTAACATTCAAACACTGCGACCCTATAGAGTGATGTAAACTTTATCAGAATTGTGACACTTTTCAATACAAGCAAATGAGCTACGAACGTATCATGTTTTACAAAAATATATACTAATCTTTGCGGTCAATTACCCTTTATTATTTCGAGAATACCAACTTTGTATTACATCACTTTTCCGTCAATGCAGCGCTACGTATATACACGAAAATGGAAACTGACCTTGGAATTAGAATCGAGTTCCGGATCGAGCACATGGCAGCACTCTAAGTTAATAACGGCAATGATATTAATGATATTGAACGCGGGAGAGAGGCGGAAGAACGGAGTGAAGTCACTGCGGGACGGGATTATCGGGCTAACGGACGGCGGCTAACGTCGCGTCAAAGGTGACGTCCGGTGACCCCGTTGTGCATCGCGCGATTTACACACGCAGAGAGAACTTAAAAACTTACCCGATGTGACCGAACGCTCGCTTCCACGTAATCGATGACAGGTTGCCGAAGGAGGGAGAGGGAAGAACGAGTTTGCTGCCAGGAGTCACCACCGGATCGACACGACACACGCACGGAAAAGTCGCGGGCGGTTTCTATTATCTCTTGGCAGTGAACCACGGCATGTTCCTCCGGCACGACGGACGGCAAGGCTTCTTTCCCTTTGACGTCGTGCGCGTTGAAAACGGACGAAGAGAACGTGTGATCGGATGCACTCGCGCAATATTCGTCCGAACGAAAGGAGGATAAGAAAGGCGGAGAGTAAATGAGAAAGAGAGAGAGAGAGAGAGAAAGAGAAAGAGAGAGGAAAAAAAGACGCGGCCAAATTTCCTGCCCCGACAACAATCACCCGATCGCGAGCGCGTCCCGTACCGCCACCGCTGGATGTAGCACACCGAACGTAGCACCGCGCACTGACTGCTCTCGCCGTTCACCAAGGCGATAAACAAACTCACCGCCTGCCGCCGCTCGCCCTTCCCGCGACACGACTACGCGCACGCACTCCGTCTCACTCGCGCTCCGCGTCTCTCGCTCCCACTCCGCCCGCTCTCGCGCGCCCCCACTCGCAGCCAACGTCACACCGAGGCGCGCGCACTCGATCGTCTCCCCTCTCTCTTGCCGACGCTGCCTATACAGCGTGTCTCAAAATTCCCAACTCATTGGATGCGTTCGGCACTAATGCTATTAGCACTATTTCTATTGTATCGTTCTGTCCTTGTTTTACGTCTAATGAAGATAGAATGACACAAATAGCGCTAATAGAACCTCTCCGGACGTGCTCAAAATACTTTATAACAAAATTAGTTATTCAAAAATTAGGTAAAACAAATATGGAGTATCAAGATCCGAGTTTGAATTCCGATAGAGATTTATGTATTATATTTTCGCAATAAGTTCTTTACGAGTTTTAAGATGCCTCTAATTAAATTTGGGGGAATTATTAATATTTCAGATTGATATAATTGAAAGTCTGAAAGTACACACTGAGAGAAGAATGATTTATTTAAAATATATACTTACTAGTCTAACATCTAACTTTGATCGTAATTGGCTCTTCTCATATTTAGTTTCAGTGAAAAAGTTATTTGTAAATTTGTATTTTAGCAGTTACTTTTGAGATAATAAGACTTAAATATGATCAATTATGACTATGCTTAGACGACTACATATCCATTATTCATACATAAAATTAATGAACGTTGATTAGAGCACGCACTTCAACTCGTTCACTAATATTCACGGCAGATCATCTAAACGTAGTCTGTAATTAGCTATATTTAAATCCTATTTCAAAAACTATAGTTTTTGATATTGCTGAAAATAAAAATTTATAGGTAGAACTCTTTTTACTTAATTTTTCAAAAACTTTCTTACTCTAGTACTTTCAATCGCGAATTTTGAGATGACTTAAGTATATTTTATAGCGTTCTATTTGTGTTGCTTAAAATAATTCCCAAAAATGGTTGTACTTAAAATAAGATAAATATTTAGGCGTTGAAAAGAAAGAAAGTAAAGATATTGAACGCAAAAAAGTACAAGCTAAAGTACACGCAAATAGATCTTTTATTTCCAATGCACAAACACAGAGTTATTGCCAACGGTTTTTTCCCTACCTACGCGCGCTTCGCTCATCGAATTCGGAGAATTCTAATTGCTACCGAATTCGAGGAATTGTTTTCATTACTCCGTAACTTCTAAAGAGGCGCGCGAGCGTTCGTCTCTGCCTACGTGTATTATTTTATCATTCTTGATTGAATGAACATGTGCGTGACAGAATACAGAATAGAGCTCCTTTTCTTGAAAAGCATTGCATAGGAAAAACTAAAGAAATGCTATAGTATACGTTGTATATATTATAGCATTTCCCTAGTTTTTCGTATGCGATACTTTTCAAGAATAGGGGTCTAGGTATACGATATTTTCAAGACGATATTTTGCACCTCGAATCGTGCATCCCAGAATACATACATATTTTTCCCGTTCGCGACATCTTTCAGAAATGAAGTTGAAACAACGAATCGAATGAAGAATAATCGAACGTTTGACAGTTTATCCGTCAAGTTTGTCTCAAGTTTTTGATTGTTCTATTTATATTTTATGCCACCAGATGTCGGAAATCCTACGTTATATCGATACGATAACGCAGTATTTCTGAGATTAACTTTGTCTTAAAAAATATCTTGATATAAAATAGATCTGTCTATTTTTTATTAAAAATTGATATTAAAAAACTTTTCTAAATAATTACAAAATATTTTTTATTCAATTTTATTCAAAAATAATGTGAAAAGTTTAAAAAACTTCACGGTTTTGCTTTCAATTGTAATTATAAATATGTAAACCATATAGTCAGAATTTATTTTTGCAAAATTTTATTTAATGCGATATCAAGGAATCTAAATTTGCGTCGGATGATAAAGCGAACTTTATCTACGATTAAAATTCAAACGCTTTATCGGTAATATCGTAATAGTGGACATATATATATCGCGTTTGCATTTTTACAACGATATATCTAAAACAAGAAAAATGTGATCTTTTTCAATTGCTTGAAAAAAAAAAACGAAAACGTAAAAAAAAAGGAAAAGTACATTTTAAAAGTACATACTTTTATTCCTTTACGATCTTTTGATTCTTTACAATAGTTATTTCAAAATTGCATGTAATTTTGAAATTAAAATTACAAATTTTATACTATTCAATTTAATTACGCAATAATATAAAATTAGGAATTTTATATTAATTAATTTAATTACGTACCGTTTTAATTACGAACCACGCATCGACTGCCATAGCCGTTGATTCAATTACTTTAGTTTAATTTCGGAAAAGTCTTTTATCAAAATTTTATGTCGTTATATAACATATAAACGATATATCAAAATAAGTTAGCTGTACATCAAATATATGAAATTTAATTTAATATATTAATTTACCCAGGGAGAAATAATAAAATCGACATCAAATCAATGTCGATTCAACGTCGAAATTATCAAATTGACGTCGATTCGACATCGATTCCATTGTCATTTTTCACTGGGTAATAATTGCGGTATAACCGTGAGAGGCATATTTGATACACGGCAATGTAAAATATGTAAAATAGAAGGAGGAATAACATATAAAGTTGTAACATGTAAAATACCTGGCGAAAATCTCAATCGCACTGTCCCGGCTGGAAAATAACGGAGTCGCGAGAATTTCGATCGCCATGTTTGCGGAGGCGAATCACTAATATCGCGAAATCGCGACGAAACACGAACACAACAATACGCAATCGTACGCGACGCCTAACGTTACGGCGAACGTCCGACACTACTCGAAACAATTGCGATGTTTTCGCGATCGCGAGATTGTGTTAAACAACGACAATCCTACTGTGAAATACGAAACGATTCTCGGAAGCAATTTCTCCGTCGCGAGTCGCGATACGATTCCGTAACTGTTGCGAGCGCGAACGCGCGATTCAAAATCTCGTAAAAGCAGTGTTGCCATCCGCGAAGTATTGAAACGACGAGCCAATCTTAAGCCTCGTGTCCACGATGCTAGAAATCGGTCCGAGGCCTCGAATGAAAAAAGAATTGACCAATCGCAATGGTCATGTGATCAAATTATTCAAATGTGATTTGTTAATTTTTTCTCTGGCCGAGATCTCGGATCGATTTCTAACATCGGGTTTTAGGTCTGTTCGCGTTGCGTGCACTTTTTGCATTCACCATCTTTCTTTTCGACATCCAAATATACATCTATTTCATTTCAAGTTCAAAAATTTTAGAGATTTTAAATAGCGTGAACAGACCTCGTGTCGCAATGATGAATTCATTCGTTTGAGTTGAGCTTCCTACGTTTAATATAGGATTAAATCGTTATGTTCATGATGCTATAAATCAGTCCGAGATATTCAATGCATAAAGAATTGACCAATCGCATTAGTCATGTAATTGAATTGTTCAAATGTGGTTTACAAATTCTTTCTCTATCCAAGTTTAAGTCCTGAAACACAATACATACAATAAGAACCAGCCAGAAGTTAACTCCGATTAACTTGATTGGCCGATTTTTCAGTATTGCTGCAAAATTGAAATTTAATGAAAACATAATTTTCTGGCAGCTCTGTAAAGAATTATATATGGCATTAAAATAATTAATTTTATGTACTTTGCTATCATACTCATGCGGCAATAGAACTCCACAAAAATAAGTAATGGACCAATCATATCGCGATAATTATTTTTAAGTAGAAACAAAATTTAGAATATTTTTTTTAATATCATAACAGATTGATTTATTAAATTGACTGTAATTCGTTTAATATATAAAGTTTTTAATATCAAAAACAATTAATATACATTAAGATCTAAATTTTTGAAAATTTAAATATTTTTATATTAAAATGAAATGTATATAAATAAATAATAAAAAACGTTTCAACATCTGTAATTTACTATTTGCTTTACAATTCATAATTATTTTAATATTTTGTAAGTTTACACACGATAATATTTTCCGCAAAATTGTATTTCCTTTATTATCAGTTGTACTTGCAGGTTTTTCGGTTACTTTTACCCTAGCAACAACGTTTGTAGAAATTTGTTCGTAATTCCGCCGCTTGTCGTCGCCAGCATCGCGCAAGCCGTTATCGATCCTCCTATTTTCCTTTCTCATTTCATTTCTCCCCTTTTCCGGTATCCGAGTCAACATGGTGCGTACAATTTGATACGTTTTAATTTTAATCCACGAAAATTTGTAGCGATCCGTGAGAAATTGCCAGTGATTCATGCCCGCTTGTTTTGTATATTCTTTATTTAATCCTACAATGCGAATATTAATCTGCCAGAAGCCGCTGTGTTAATGCGCGAACCCTTGCCACTTTAGATTTAGGTTATGTTCGGAATTTAGCAGTGGAGCTAAAACAATTGTTCATAATAAAATATATATATTGTTCTGCGGTCGGATTGTTAATTGATATTTGCTTCTAAACGATTTGCAGAGTCGTGTCCGAACGAAGACGGTCAAAAAGGCCGCGAAGCTCATTATCGAGAAGTACTATCCACGTCTCACTTTGGATTTCCACACGAATAAGAGGATATGCGAGGAAATCGCTATTATCCCTAGCAAATCCTTGCGCAATAAGATTGCTGGGTAAGTGTATGGCATATTAATTTCAAGGAATCTCCATTTCTCAAACTCATTTTATCAACTAACCAAGGATGTTTGTTACATTTGTTTTTGTAAGTGACTGGAAACAATTAATAATATTCAGATTTATTTTACACTAAATTAAAGCACAAAAATTGTTTGATTATGATTGAAGTCGTGCTGTAAAAACATAAGGCGTTTTACAGCAAGGGCGCAATGTAACAACGAATGATTTTATTCTTGTTTAAGATGACATCCTTGTTTATATTGACAAGAAAGACATAACGATTCACGGTATCCTTGCTGGAAAACATTCAATTTATTGTAATGTTTATACTATTGAATACTTTTACGACTTCATATCTTTATCAAGAATCGAAACATTTGCCGTTGTATGTTTGGTTTATTTGTATCTATCTTGTAAATTTTATGTAATGTGAATATATGTGTAATTCTAGCTAATAACTGCTATGGACAATTAAATTTACTGTATTCATTTATTCTTAGAGCCAATTGCCATTATTTAATTTGTATCTCTATGTTGCTCATGTGAATTTCGATATGATTATAACGATTGTATTGTAATCATTAGATTTGTCACTCACCTGATGAAGAGGCTTAGGCACAGTCAGGTACGTGGTATCTCCATCAAGTTGCAAGAAGAAGAGAGGGAACGCAGAGACAACTATGTTCCCGAGGTCTCCGCTTTGGAGCACGACATCATCGAGGTCGATCCAGAGACCAAGGAGATGTTGAAAATGCTGGAGTTCAACAACATCACTGGACTTCAACTCACACAGCCCGTACCACAATTTAGCAGACGTTCTTAAATATCGTTTCCTTCACATTATTAAGAAAAATGGTTGGTCCTGCACTTTTCAAATAAAATTGCAAACTAACACTCACGATAAACGTGCTACTTATTGTGTTGAAGCATTTAGCTTTTCGTAAACCTTGGTCATTAACGAATCCCAATATTGATTAATTAATAACCTTAATCATCTGCTCCATGTCCTTGAAAAATTTTATTTTTCCAAAACAATATATAATTATAATTTAATTTATATTATAGGTTTAATTTAAAAGAAAATTATCTTTATCGATTGAATGTGCCCTCAGTGATACGCCAGATATTGGAAAACATCAGAAACGATACGATTTGTAAATGCATCGAGAGGGAAAAAAAAGACGAAAAGGCAGTATAGAGGGAGCAGAGCGCGTGCGCTCAGTCGGCCATTTTAATCGCACTAGGAACAACTAGAAACGCATGCAATGATCGTCCGTTCACGCTGCAAGTCCAAGAACGTTTCAAGTAAAAATGCCCGTCCTCATCCACCGCGATCGCTGTGTGAGGCATAATTCGTCGTACAGTCTCCCCACGTGATCCTGCAATCCGTAGATCTCCGCGCGCGCACACACAGACGTACGGATAATCTCATTGCAGCCACATGTGCGCCAATGTCAGGACCATCGCCGTCGGTCGCCTCGCGTCAATTTATATTCACGCCGAGTGTTTTTGCCAACACTCGCGTCGTCGCAGCTCCACGACGGTATCGACCGCGCTTAACCGCTCCGAGCTGCCGGAATCGTTGCCGTTTTAGCGAACTGATTCTCTCGGCTCGCTATATCGCTTACGACGATGAGCGCGGAGACGCACCGTGGAGAGGGATAAGAGGGTTACGACTACATCCCTGGCGCGTTGCATCGGCATTAGGCCAGGTGCAGCTCGAACGTTTCCCGGCACCCAAGCCCCGAAGCCTCGTGTGACGAGCGGAGAATTCTCCCGTTTCTTTCTCTCGATAATCTGGTTCTCGAACAATGCGCTCTACGCGCAGGAGAGGGGGACGATGCATTTGTAGCATTAACGCGAAATCGAGTTCTCGGCAAACGATCCGCTATCGAGAGGGGGTTCCGTTTTACATTATGCGACGCATTCAGCGGAAAAGGACATCCGCCGTAATTCGTATGATGCATAAAAGCCACCACGGTGGATTCTAAACCTCCGTGCCGCTCATCCAGGGGTGCGCGGCGATTTCACGGGATCGATTGCGAATCAGCGGGGGGTCACGGTGGTGTGGCGTCTCGCGGTATATAAATTCAGCGAGAGAGACGCTCGATAAATTCGCGTTCGCGACGGAAAGCGTTCCGCACCCTCGGGCGAAAGTCCGGCCCTGGTCGGGCCGCGAGGCTGCGCGCGCGACCCTAGCCGTCCAAGGCTAGGAGAGACCTAGCGCAACCTCGTCGGCGAGGAGAGAAAGAGAGAGAGAGTGAGAGAGAGGAAGGGACGTGGGAAAGAGAAAGCGCTAGAATGGGCGAAGGAACGACGGCGAGGACGACGAGACCTGCTTATTGGGGGACAAGAGGAGAGCCCGCACACGGACGGCTGGCGAGAGGAGTCAGTCGACTATTAGTGGTCTGTGACTCTAGAGGTGGGCCGACCCCCGCCGGCAGAACCGAGCTCTACGCAGCTCGGTCGCGCTCGGTCGGCAGTCGGGGCCAGTCGGCCGCACTCCAGCGTTCTCCGTCTCCGCCGTTCTCTTCGCGCTCGTTCGTTCGTTCGTTCGCTCGCTCACTCGTCCGACCATCGTCCGCTCGCTCTCGGCGTTGCGCGCCGCGCCACTCCATCAGTAAGTCGTACGCTGCGCAACGGGAGCGACGGTCGTCTCGTCACGCATACCGTCCTCCGCTCCTCGCAAAACCTCTCTCGGGTTTTTTTTTTCTTTTTTTTATTTCTTTCATTAAAGGCGACGTAACAGTGTCCCTCGCTACCACCTCGCGCTATGTGACGGATATCACGGGGCACCACAGTGTGTACCCCACCTTCCACCACGTACCGTTGTCTACCCGGACTCTACCCCACCGGTGTACCCCCCCTCGCCCTTTTTACCGAGACCTACCCCACCTTTCTCCTCTATCTCCTCTCTCGTTGCCCCCTCTCGTCCCTGCCCTTCCCCCCTAGCCGATCCTCGTCCACCGCCCCGTTGTGGAAAAAGAGAAAGACGGACTGTTTCGTGAACGCTCGTACGACGACGACGACGACGACGACGAGAACGACAACGACGAGGTGGCCACGGGTGCCTCGTGGAAAAGCGTGCCTGGAGAAAACATGGAGTGTCCGCACCTTAGTCAGAGCGTGCGATTTGGCGATGACAACGTAGATGGATCGGGCTATGCTGTGAAGGATCTGCCGTTCGTCTGCGCAGGTAGGGACTCGTCGTACAAAGCCCCCGAGAAGTGCCTTCTATTCCACGCCAGCTCGAGCGCGAGACGGGGAGAGAGAGAGAGAGAGAGAGAGAGAGAGAGAGTGAGAACGTTAGAATGATAGAGATGGATGGATGGTTTGGATGGATAGATAGATGGATAGGGGAGCCGGCTCGTCTCCCAGGTCTCTCCTCCGCTTATTGCAATTCTCCTTCCCCTTTCTTTCCACGGCTCGACCCTGTCTCTCTGCTCCGTTTTGCTCTCCTCTTCTCACGAATCCGCACGACCGATCAGACACGCACACTCACATAGGCGACACTCGCAAGCTGATTCTTTCTCTCTTGCCTGTCTCTACCAATGTAGCTTAAGTTTAATTTCAATTCAACTTATTCCTTCGGATTCTTAGAACTAGCAAAAGATGAACCAAGAATTAGTTGAACCAAATTAAAATTAAACTACATCGGTAGAAACAAGCATCTCTTTCTCTCTCTTTCTCTCTCTCCGTCTGCCTTTCTCCGTCTCTCCCACACGCACATACACACGCACACATTCTCCTGTGCCACGTTCCTCGCCCGTGTTCCGTCTCTCTCATGACCCAGGCCCCGGCCGTTCCTCTTGCGGCCTTGAGCCGTCGTCGCCGAGACGAGACGGAGCGGATCGCCCGCTGTGATTTTCCCTCGGGAAAAGCGCCGATGCGTCACTCGCCGTGCAATTGCATTTTCGCGACGGCCGCTTATCGTCGGCCGTCTCGGATTCTCCCAGTTTGACGCACGAAGCAACGAGCAAAGTATAGCGAATCGAACTCGTCGCCTGGCCTATGTGTGCGTGCGTACGTATACCCACGTTCTCTCTCTCTCTCTCTCTTTCTCTCGCTCTCGCTCGCTCTCTCTCTCTCTTTCGCTCTCTTTCCGAACGATATGCACGCGAGCGAGCGAGCGAGCGAGTGGTGTAACATGAATTTGTAGATGTGCATCGGTATATGCCCGCTCGCTCTCGCACGGCGTGTTCGTGGTCCCATGACTCGTTACGCGCGCGAGAGCGCGACGGCGGCGTGGTTAGTGATGATGGTGATGGTGTTGGTGGAGGTGGCGGCGGTGGCGGCAGCGGCGGCGGCGGCGGCGGTGGTGTGCGCGTGTGCGTCGTCGTCCTGCTGGGAGTTCTCAGTATGCGCCGCGCGGCCGTCATCGGAAAATCAATACCAGACGGCACTAATCAGCTGGCCCTAAGATCCACCGTCATTAGAACTCGCCGCGGCTAACGGATCCGCCGATGCCGCCGTCGCGCTCCCCGCGACAGCTTCTCCGTCGCGAGGATTCTGAGAGGATCCGTAGAGGAGAGGAAGGAGAAGCGGCTCGTAAAAATATGAAAAAAAGAAGAGAAAAAGAAATACGAGAATATCATGGAATCGTCCGTGCGGAAATTTGCGATGGGCCGCAATCGATGTCGATTCTGCAGCGTAGAGAAAGAAGGGGACCCCGACCGTTGTGCTGGTACGAACGCGGAATATATAGGACCTTCGTTCGCCGAGTCAGACAGTGACATTGGTCGTGCTAGCTCCGAGCTATCGATTTAAAGATGCACGGACGTACGGTCATTATAGGGAGATACTATAGAGACGCAAGGAGCGTTTGCCATAAAAACATTAGTTAAAGACACACGAGGGCTTCGCCGAGACCTCTTCTTCGTAGGAAAAAAAAAAAAACTCTTCTGGAGCTTTAGCACGGAAGAAAATGGAGGATCGTTAAGCCGTCATTAAGCCGTCGTTACGCGACGTTGTGGTAGGGAATGGAGTCGCCGAATCGAAAACACAATTCCGTTGGTCGCAAACGGTCGCTTACAGATTACAGAACTCGGAGCAACGGATAAGTTATTATCGCTGACCGCTGCGCGAGTTGTGTCGAAGTGATGGCGTTTACGAGACAATGCATGACACGACGTGGACGTACCAGAGTAATAGATGAAGGGAGGGGAGGGGGGGACGCAATCGCTCGAGAGGAGCAAACGTGTCCGTCCTCGAAGGCCGTGAAATTCACGACGGCCACGACCGACGAGGGAGAGGAGGCTGTTCCTCGAATCCTGGTGCGCTCCTCTCCGTGCTTCGTGGCGGAGCTCCTTCCTTTCTCTTTACCACGACCTCGGGACTATATTTATCCGAAACGTATGTGTTTTTTCTCCCCTTGCACGTCCACGCCGTCCGCCCCCTCCACCTTCTGTGCCAAAACCCCCATAGATCGGCGCAATTGAAGTCGCAAAATATGCCCCTGACTCCGCCAGGGCTAAGCTAATTCCGGCGATTCGCGCGCTTCGTGCCTTCGTAATGCTGTTAATATTTTATGCAAATCGATGCCACATCGTCGATTTCGAGCCTCGTCCGCTTCGTCTATTCTCAACTAACGCGAGGTTGCCGCAAATCAAGGAAATGTTAGGAAAATCGAAAACTGTTAGAGAAATCAAGGAAAGTCAGGGAATTTTGCCAAATTGGCTAGAAAATAAAAATTCTTGGCTTTGAAGAAGGTTAATATGCATACATCACATCTATGCAGTTTTGGAATATTATCAACTTAACAATTAAATGCAAGCAGTGTCAGCAACATTAATAGCAATTAACTTTGCTATGTTAAATTGCTCTCTCATCCAAATATTTGATGGTTTTCAGAACAAAAACACAAAAGATTTCAAAATAGCATTGATGTATCAGGGAAAATCATGAAATTCTGTTTGGAAATTAGGGACAAGTTATGGAATTTTAGAAATTTATGACAACCTTGTAATAGCAGTGAAATATATATAATAGACTCTCTCTCTCTCTCTCTCTCTCTCTACTCGGCTGTCTTAGGAAATCTTGATTGGATGAAGAAAGAAAATTTGGTTAATTACAAATAACTACTAACTATTAATGACAAACTATATATATTTACTAGAAAAACAGCAATGATTGCATAGTGTGTCTGCGTAATCAAAGTCTAACTGAGAATGCCGACTTGTCTGAATGAGTACTTATCTATTAATAATAATCCATCGAATATACGGAAATGATCCGTCTGTTTGTTCAACAAAAGATAACGGAAGAGCAAAATGAGAATCTTATTTTTTACTCCGTTAGATTCATTCGCCACATTAAAGCTGTAAACATAATGAAAAGCACAATTAATAGGGACAGATTTCAACCAATCAGAAACCGTTTATTAGAATTCGTGACTTCTGATAGGCTGAGATCTGTTATTCACGGAAAGAACATTTTTGTTGAACTGCCTAAAAATTCAGCTAGATGCAAATCAAAAAATAATTTTGTTAGACTATCAAAATAATTATGTAAAACGCTCAAGATGATTGTTAGAACAAAATTTTTTGCAACATTGCTCATCGTGTTTGAACGTCTTTTATAATTATTTTAATAGTGTAATAAAATTATTTTGAAATCTATCCAGCTAAAATTTTAAATATTAACTTAAGCTTTAAATAAATATATTTTTGTTATACGTAATTTAAGCTTTAAGCCTTAAGCCGTAAGAAATTGTCCAAAATCAAATTTGAAGAGAATAATCGACTATTTGATCGACAATTTTTCACGATTTAAGGCTTAAAGCTTAAGTTTTACGACTTAAAATTTCATTGTAGACGCCGCTTTAACAAAACTGTTCTTTCTGTACTGTTGCCTGTGCTTTTCAATTGTGCACTATGCTCGATTCTTTCAAATTTTGCTCTACCAGATTTATTTACCACATTACTCTTTTCAATTCGACTAAAAATTCTCGGTCAACGCGTGACAAAGCGTATGATACAATAATTGAATCGTCAAGATCATCTCTGATGACCGATTTCGCTGCATCGATTACCGCTCCTTTTTTTACGAAAATAGAATGACAAAAAGCGAGCAACTTACTGCTGCTACCAGTTTTGTTCACTTGCGGCTTAAACGACGTTGGTAGAATCCACTGCGATTTTCGAGCCAGCCACTCGTTACGGTCTGGAGTTGCGTCTTTCTTCTCGCCGCGACACGGATGATGGTGGGGAGATATCGCTAGGAAGCGTAACAGTCAGCACTGGAGGAACAGGCTGCCGTTAATTTCGGGCGTGGGCAACGAAGAGTTGCAGATAGAACAATAGCTTTGTAGAGTTCGATGGCATTAGGAAGGCCACCACTCGTCATAAATCACTTTTTCTTTTTCTTTTTCGTCAGATATCTCAAAAATTAATCTTACGATTTTTTAATCAAAGTCATTGTGGAATCTTTTTAATATCAAATTATACGCGGGAAGAATAATAATATTAATGCAAATGTATTATGGTCGTTATATTAAATTTCTGGCACTTCCTGACCTGAACTTTGAGTATTTTCAACAAATGTGTAATAAATCATAGTCTCCTCGTTTTATCCGTATTCACACAAGTGCACACTCCCTATCTGCAAATGGCGAATGTTTTCCTGCTATTATCTATCGCTTTCGCGGACTATAATAGCTTTAAAAGCGAGGAAAGATAGACGATTAGAAGAGACTAGACTAGAGAGTAGAAGAAATATATAATATTAAGATAAAGACAAATTAGAGGGAAGAAAATATATATATATATAGAGAGAGAGAGAGAGAAAGGATGGTATTATTATTAGAGATAAACGTGAAAAGAACACGAGTTGATTTCAGAATCATACAACTATATAAACCGGTGATATGCTGAAGTAAATCGCGAGCTTTATCTTATTTTTAAACAAGAATGACATTATCTATTAATTAATTGGAAAAAAGAGAAACGTGTCGCGGCCCAAATCCAGTTGCGCATTATCAATTTTATTCTACTCATTCTGTTCTCGTTGACACCGTTTTCTTTCTATTGACTGAACGAAGGAAGATGCTTGTCTATTATTATGTCTATTGGACGAATAAAGAATGAATGCTTGTCGCCGGTGAACTTCAGCATAAATCTAAAGACTGATTCACCGTAAATAACTAAAATAGTTATTGACAAAATACGTGCAAAATAGAAATGCGATAAGTTTACAATA